TTATATTAAATTGTCTGATCTCGAGTGCCTTTTTTGAACCCTTTTAAGTAGCTTTTTGTAATCTTTATCTAAAAACATAATATTGAATAATGCAACAGTTGAAATTATAATGAAGTACTTTACATTTAGTATGTTAGTCAACACATCAAAATAAGTGTACTTCTTTAAAACACAACAAAACATTATTAAATCGCAATGTAATTTGTAATAATGTCAAATACATTTTTTACTTTAAAGTGCACTTTTTAAGTGTGTTAAGAAATACACTTTAAATACTCTTGAGATACCTTTTATTTTATTGACATTATATTATCTGCAATTAGAGATTTTTTAAAATAAAAGTTTTAAAGATTTAAAGTGAACTAAAATGGCACATTCGATACAGTTAAGTGCACTTCTTTTTCACAAGGGTGTGCAAATATAATCCAAATAAATGTAAATAATGCTGCAATGCATATACTGCGTACCATTAACAAATATATTCAAACATACTTGCTTTGCACCTGTAACATTCGGTTTATAAGCACGTATAAATTTTTTAGAACAAACACATACTTTTAAGAGCAAAGGCTTGTTTTGGCAGAGAGCATAGACATTTATATTCATTTGTGTTATGAACATCACACAGACTTCCCTCTAATGAATCTTATAAGTACATTAATTGCAGCTGGATCATGGATAATTATTACAATGATTAGTTGAGCAGGCACAGCTGCAAAACAAAGGCCTGCAGAGAAATTGTGGAAAGACAGAACACAATCCACAAACCTATCCTGCTGACATGCAGTCTGCAGAATATATCATCTATACTATGCACAGTATGCAAATTTCCCTACTACAAATACCTGCTGCTGAATGTGGAGCATACAACATAACACACTGCACAGCATACTGTATCCCACAATGCAATGCACTCAACATCAGTGTGTGACGTAAATTACGTCACCAGAATAGTACATGCACCGCATGATTTTTGTAAGTATGCGCAGGTCGCACATGCGCATTGAATTTGTTTCGCACTAATCAATTGTTCCACAAGGTGGAAAAGGTGCGTTCACACCATGCCGTAATTACCGTAACAATTCCGAACTGTAAAAAGCATTCACGTGCTTGTAGAACTTGTAATTACAACGTGTAAACTTGTAATTTTCTGAGAACTACGTCTACAACTTGTACCACTGCTGTACCACCTGACTACTGCAGATTTAAGATGTGTTCGACTTGAAGCAGCATTGTGCAGACCTATCGGTATCGGTGTATGATATCAAAGTGCCGTGAGCAATACCACTCCTGTCAGCTAAGAACAAGAAACTAAGGCTACAATTTGCATGGGCTCACCAAAATTGGACAATAAAGATTGGATAAACGTTGCCTGGTCTGATGAGTCTCGATTTCTGCTGCGACATTCAGATGGTAGGGTTAGAATTAGGTGTAAACAACATAAAAGCATGTATCCATCTTGCCTCAAGGCTGCTGGTGGTGTAATGGTGTGGGGGATATTTTCTTGCCACATTTTGGACTCATTAGTACCAATTGAGCATTATTTAAACACCACAGCCTAACTGAGTTGCAGACCATGTCCATCCCTTTATGACCACCGTGTACCCATCTTCTGATGGCTACTTCCAGCAGGATAACACGCAATGTCACAAAGCTTAAATGATCTCAATCTGGTTTCTTGAACACGACAATGAGTTCTCTATACTCGAATGGCCTCCATCTCAATCTAACAGAGCACCTTTAAGATGTGGTGGAATGGGAGATTCACATCATGTGCAGCCGACAAATCTGTGATGCTATCATGTCAATACATGCTATGAAGAATTAAGGTGATTCTGAAGCAAAAAGGGGGTCCGACCTGTTACTAGCAAGGTGTAGCTAATAAAGTGTCCAGTGAGTGTATTATATATATTGCAGATTTATTAGGAGTAGTATGCTACTCTGAACGTAGCCTTAATTTTAAGATTTTAGGCTATATAACAGAGCCTATTGTTTTTGTTTTTTTTTGGCTCGAGAACATGGAGCAAGACTGCTGAATAATTGAGAGAATTGTGAAGTACCTCAAGGTATACATCATTGGCTTTCTGGAAAAATCCTTAAATCCTGGAAAGAACAGCAATGCGTAAGAAAACAGAGTTGTGCAGTTCAAAGACTGTACTGTTTAAGTTGAAGCACTTTTCACACCAGTCTTCTGTCTGACTGTTGCTAGCTGAGATATGAGACACCTGTGTTTTGTAAAGGAGATGAGAAACATGTAGCGGACATGCACACAAACGCCTTACACATTTTAAATCAACAAGGCCCCATAGTGCGATCAGACGTGAGAAAGGGCCATGGAGAAGAACATGTGAGATACAACACATGGCTCAGTTTCTCATTTCCAGGGTGGAAGGCTTCTGGCTGTCAACAGGATAGTGTGTGTGGAGGAGGGGCGAAACACGCGTCCCAGATGTGAATGTCAATGTTTACATTACATTATTGTGCCGCAAGACCAAATACTCACATATGAATGACGCATTTAATACATTTGCAGGTCAAACTTCTAATTAGATCTTTGCATTTTCAAAAAGGTAACTGGCTTTGTAAAAATCTTGGGTCCACCATTCACTGTAAAGGTAAAATCATAAGTTTGATGGCTTAGAAAAGCATCAGTTAAATAAAGTTCTGAAAGAACCTGTAACGTTATAAGTAAAAGCAATAATAACAGTGAAACGTGTGCAAACACACACAAATAAAAAATAAAAAAAGTGACAGAACAAGCTGAAACCTTAATATTAAAATGTTATTGAATTGGTATTTTTTTGTCAGTACAAAAATATAGCAAAAACAGTAATGTTGTGAACTATTATTACAATTTAAATTAACTGTTTTCTATCATTTCTGTAATTTATTCCTGTGATGCAAAGCTGCATTTTCAGCATCATTACTCCAGTCTGCAGTGTCACATGATCCTTCAGAAATCATTTCAAATATGATTTAAGCTTTTTTGCTCAAGAAACATTTATTATTATTATTATCAATGTTGAAAACATTTGTGCAGTTTAATATATTCATATTTTCAGAATGGCAAAACAATTTATTTTGTATCATTTTAAAGTATTTAGGTCTGTAACACTTAACAATAAAGGTTAAAATTGTAAACATTAGTTAATTAATTAAATACCATAAACTAACAATGAACTGTTTTACAGCATTTATTGTAAAATACATTGTGGGATAATGCAAATTTCTACATATATTGATACATTGATGAAATGATCATCAAAAGTACACTTATAAATTAACATGAAGCTAGGTTAATAAATACTGTAAACTGTGATACCTAATGCATTAACTAAAGTAATGCAAAAAAATAAATAAATAAATAAATACACGAGAAACCTACTTGAAGACTGGTTTCTATGGAGACAATGATGTATCGGTTCTGTTTTAAAGTATTTATGTAACCCTAAAGAATTGCAGCTATAATATTCAGAACACTTAACGCTATCTGTTATAGCCATTGTTCAAAGCATTACCGGAGCACAACATTTGAGTTAAATGATGTTAAAGAAAACAAGATGAAAGGGAATGGATCACAGACTTTTGAAATGTTTGTATTCCAACGATATAGAGTCTGGAGAAGAGAGCAGAACACCGGGTACTTTATTGTGGAAAAAATGTGACATTGGGAAAAGTCTTATCTGGCACATACGTCAGTCTTTATACAAAAACAGAAGGCAGGCTACAAATCTTGATCATTTATACAAATGCACTGTTCCAAAACATTTTTTTTCTCTTCTTTTATAGAGTAAACTCGTTCTCTGCTCTAAGAGCACCAACCGCGATATCGCCACCTCTCAAAATCCCTGAGGAAAGACAAACACACTCACGCCTACGGGTGCAGGTGTCTTAGTCGTGTAAGTCTGCATTGTGTGAATCCATATGAAAACTCATCTTAACAGACACACTGGGTACAGCTAAAAACAGCACAGTATTGATGCAGTCACAACCGGTACCACTAGAAACTACTCAGATAACTTACACTGTGGAGGACGGACAGAAGACACAATCACGTTACGACTGAGACGAATAAAAACACAAATGGTTTACTATGGTAATGAGGACTGCACATCCTTTGACAACATGGGAGGTTTGTTATTCCAATCTTATACTACTCTCTGCTATGTATATATATATATATATATATATATAACATGATGTCCAACGTTATTTTATATATTGTTTTTTTCCTAATCTGTCTAATTTTCATTAATATTAGAAAGATCAGACTGTATTGAGTTATTATTTGCATTTGAGTTCAATAACTTTGGAAGGAAAAAGAAGACAACAGAAGTAGAGAAAAGTGAAGAAACAAGATCGTCTGAGAGACCATCAAGATGAATGCATGACAAATTCTGGGTTTATTCCCTTTAAAATGCTCCCTTTACACACGTCTCAATGAAACAATGGATGAATCAGTTCAGCGGAAAAATGTGTTATAAAGAAGGGCATCTTGAATCAGAAATTTTTAATACACTTTAACATAACACAGAGCCAGCTGTTTTCTTTTTTCTTTTTTCATCAAGACAACACAAAAAGGAATAAGTTATTACCGACTCAGCTGTCCGACATGGCATTTAGGACTTTAAAGGGATAGTTCACCAAAAAAATGAACATTCTGTTGTTTATTCACCCTCATGTCATACCAAATACATTCGGTTGCTTAATTCCATGCTGTTGCAATGAATGGGAACTATAATCATAAAAGTGGTTTATATAACATTTCTATATTAGTTCCTGACACAAAGCTATCATATAGCTTCAGAAGATGTAGAATATAGCGCATGAGTCGTATGGACCACTCTTACGGTGCTTTTCATCTTTTTTTGAAACTCCATTGTAATAGCATGGAAAAGATACATGATTTTCTCCATATTTGTTTTTCTTGAGTTTCACTGAAAGAAAGTAGGTCATGTGGGTTTTGGGGCGAGAAGATAAAGACAGATTTTCATTTTTGTGTCAGAATGGAGAGGCTCATATTACAAAATTCCTTCATAAAAATAGTTGGGATCACCAAATAAGAGCACCAAGTTAAAGATCAGGAACATGCACGGAATAAAGACCATCATGAAACAAAGTAATCGCTGAATGAACTAAACAAGTAATTCGCATATCGTGATTCTAGCTCATCGTTTTCTGTTTGAGCAACAACATCATACTGTGTAATGTGTCATTTTATATATTAGGCTCCATCTATACACTCAAACATAGAAGAAAATATTAAACCAACAATACATATAAACAATCCCTTACAAAACTATGGCTGTATATTGTTAGATAGGTGCAACAAGTAAACGTATCTGTATTTGGTTAGGAGTTACCAGTCAAAACTTTGCATTTCTGGTCTGTTGAATCAATTCAGTCAAAAGGACATTACCAGCAGAACTAATCGATGTCCATGGCCCTAATGTTCAGATCTAATAAACACTACCGTTCAAAAGTTTGGGATTTTTTAAATATGTTTTTGAAAGAAGTCTCTTAAGCACACCAAGGACGCATTTGATTTGATCAAAATACAGAAAAACAGTAATACTGTGAATATTATTACAATTACAATTTTTATTTATTTTAAAATATAATTTATTTCTGTGAAAAGCTGAATCTTTAGTGTCACATGATCCTTCAGAAATCATCATTCTAATATGCTGATTTGGTGCTCAAGAATCAGTTCTTAATACCAATGTTGAAAACCGTTATGCAGCTTAATATTGTATATTCTTGTGTAAACTGAATAGAAAGTTCAGAAGAACAGCATTTATTTAAAATCACTTGTAACATTATAAACGTCTTTACTGTCCCCAAACTTTTGAATGGTGGTGCAACTGTGAATAAACTCACTCTGCTAAATGTGATATTCTAACAAATGAACATTTTTCATCCGAATTTTTATTAGTAACGCAACAAGGACATCAAATCGGTTGAATCTATTTGTTACACAACAGTTTTATGCAAAGTAAGGCAAAATTTGCAAATTCAATTCGCTAATTTCCTTCAGGCTACATAGCTTATCGAATGTTCCTTTCCTGTCATTTTTGGCAATATGCAGCAAATGGATCCAATTTCTTGATCCCAGAAGTTACAATCCACTAGTTAGCTTGTGTTGTGGGCATGTCCTGTCTGGATTGACAAAACGTTGATGGACCGTGTAAAAGCATTCGCTAAGAATTCTGCATCCCAAACCAAACTTCACATAATGTCTGTGCTCATCTGTACAGTGTCATTAAGGGTGTGTTCACACTTGGCAGGTTTGGTTAGATTAAAACAAACTCTGGTAAACCAGGACTAAATGAATTCTTTTCTTTTTTTGGTCCAGACCAAAAGAACCAAGAGAACCAAACTAAAAGTGTGAACACACCCTAAGTCTGCAACCTCACAAATCAATCATTTTGCCATTTGTTTTTACAGTTAGAAAGACTTATGACATGTTTGGCCTATTTACCTAATTATTTTGATGAGGTTTAGAAGATATTATAATTTTTTTTCTTTTTTTCGTCCAGGCGTTTCTGTCAGCCATGATGTGCTCATTAAATATTAATGATTCCAATCATATGAATAGAGAAATGACATTTAAATGTACTGTACATGCAGAGTATAGCCTCATGGGGGTTGTAGCACTCTCAATTCCTTCTCAGTCCCAGGGCAAATATTGCCCTTCAAGACTATTAAGCATTGGCTAGCTAATTAACATCTAATCTATCATGAGACTTCAAGTATGCATCTATGGGCCACTTCAAGTTAAGGACTCCCGACACGTCTGAAGAGCTCCGCAGTTCTAGATTGTTCCAGAATGTCTCAGTTTTACCAGACGAAGCCGCTCTCGCATGCTTAAGCATCCCATGGGTAACCCAGGTTTTGAAGATGTTCTTTGTCAGCCGTAGGATGTCAATTACCTCATTACTGAGAGCTCAGAGAGAACATCTCCTTTACAACTTCAGAGAAGCTGTCAGATCAAATGTGTCCAAGTCAAGGAGCCATGGTCCTTAAGCCCTGTTTTTCCATGATGTTCCACAGTTTCCGCAGGTTGGACTGAGTGATGGTATCGTCCGGTTTCAGCTGCAAGGCTCGCAGGTAATTGGCCTCCGCTTCTTGGAGTTTGCCATTGAGATGGAGAATAGCTCCGAGGTTCATGAGGGCTGCGGGATACTGTGAAAAAAAAAAAAAACACCAGTCACTTTAAAAGTGCAGTCACATTTACCGTTGCTAGGCAAAATTTTGCAAGCGAAAAACAGGGATTTTTGGGAGTTTTGTGTGTTTTTGGGAGTTTTGTGTGAGGATGAAATATTTCACCAGGAAGATTGTACTCGTTCAAGTTGGTCACGCGAATTTGCCACGCTGACCAACAGAAGGTTGGTTGGTTTGAAAGTGACTTTATACTGTTTAAAATGGACCTTTTTTGGCATGCAAAATTTGTAACTGCACCTTATGGAAGCAAATAATATTGTTTGCATGCTTATTCTAAAACAAACCAAGGTTATAGCGAATCTTTGGCATTTTGGAAATGTTTTCAGGTTCACATGTCCATAAATTTAACCAGAAACTCTGTTATTCTACAGTCTATAACTCTCCTGGATGCACATCATCTATTTTACTTATGTCAGGGTTACATGAGTGATGTTGAATGCATCAGGCTTCAATGGAAACAATATGTTGTCTACGCCAATTCTTCTCACATAAGGAGATTTCAATAGATACATAAATCAAAATGAACCTCAACTAAACCCAGCATACCATGAGTTCTCACATGGACATACAAAAACACATTTGTTGCAGCACCAAAATTTCAACACAAATAAATGTTTTAATGTCTAAAATATATAATTATAAGAAGTTACTGTGATTTAATACAAAACCATTTCTGGACATGCTTCACTTGCCACCTCTGAAGGGAAAGAGTTGTATATTATCTAACTCTCACGAGAGTAAAACTTAAACTAACAGACTTTTTAGGCCAGCTGCCATGCTTTTCCGCACGGAAAAGTAGAAAGAGGCGATCGTTGTAAAATTACACAACGTGTAAGTAATATATTAGCACTATTTGACCCAACACAGAGAAGTCAAACCTCAAAACAAGACTGAGGAACAAATGAACTGCAAACTGTGGCATTAACTGCACTCAGGTGACACGTATACCTTCCTCTCAAAACCAAATATATTCAGCAACTTTTTCACTATAGCTCCAAGTATCCAAGTACACTGTAGGAAAAAAGGTACTGGTAATTTTCTGCCAGGACATTTTCTGTTAAGTTTAAGGACATTTCCTTTAACCCTAAAACACAATATAATGTGTAATTAAAAATACGGGTAAAACATCTGTAAAATCAATACAAAATTTCGGTAACACTTTATTTTAGTGCCCTTGTTACACAGGTTACATGTAGTTACTATAATGATATCTATAAATTATGCATAATTACTAACCATAAACCAAATCTAACCCTAACCCTTTAACATGTAGTTAATTAATTTTACTCAGTACTTAAATGTATACTTACACTGAAACAAGGAGACCTTAAAATAAAGTGCAACCAAAAATTCCTTCATATATTAACACTGTACATTTCGCTGGCTATTTTAACAGACAGTTTTTAAAGTGTCTGCATTTAAAATGTGGGTTTGATATGACCAAAAACTTGCATCATTGCATGATTAATATATATATAATAAATTAATACATACATAGGTTTAAATTGCAAAGGGATTATCCAGTTAATTCAATTCTTTAATGAAAGTTACTTATCTAATTTTACCATTTCATTTTAAGCCAAAGCGATTAATAAAATAAAAAAATAAAATAAAAAGTTGATTTGAAAATTTTTAAAAAGATTGATATATATCCTTAACAAATGGTAAGTCTGGCATCAATAGCCGCGTTTCCACTGCCGGGCCACGGCCGAGCTGTGCTAGTGCGTGACAGAGCCAGTCGCGTTTCCACTGTCACTTCCGGGGCTTGATCGGGGCCAACGGCCAGGATTTCTGGCCCGTCGAATACCTTGGGCCAAAGCGGGCCAGCTCGGGCTAGAGGCGTGGTCAAGGTAAAAGGCGGAGTTTATCGGTGTTATGGAACGTTATGATCTGAAGCAAGATGCACATTTCACTTTTTTATATCGCGCAAAATAATCGCTGCTCGAAATGGTGAATCGCCTGTACTGGTCTGTCGAAGATCCCAAAGCTCTTCTGAGCATTTGGGCGGAAGAAAGGGTAGCTACAACGTCAATTTGACGGCGTGTGAAGAAACGAATACGTTATAAAATACATCGATGCTGAACTTTCTAAGCTAAGCATTCAGCGAGCAACGCTTCAAGTTCAGAAAAAAAAAAAAGTTGTGGGCGCAGTATTGTACAAGGCGATTCAAACGCACAATGGACAAAGCGGAGCTCAGAGAAGGAACTTTCCAAATTCCATGTTTCGACTTGATGGACGGTGTGCTAAGTCACCGTCCCTCTGTTAGTGTCGACTCGCGAGACAATCTGGACACTATTGCAGGCTGCAGCCACGGCCGGTGAGTTAATATACATGCTATCTTCCTAACTTAAAAAATAAATAAATTCATAATACCCGCTGAAATGGGTTGGGTTGTATGACGTTTGATCCAGAAAGGCGCGTTAGGGGCGGGGTTAAGGGCAGCGCTGCGGGGCTACTGGCCCGGCAGTGAAAACGCAAGCCCGGTGCTTGAGGCCCGAGGCCACTGGCTCGGCTCGGCTCGCTGTTAGCCCTGGCCTGGCAGTGGAAACGCGGCAGTGGTGAAAACATCTTCATATTATGTATCAATAAAAAAAAATTTAAGTAAGCAAAATGGATTTGTGTAGCACTTTGAGATTCTTCAGAATGAAAAGTGCGTTATAAATAAAATATATTATTATTATTACTTAAAAGTAAAGCCAACTCTTATATGTCCATATTTGTGTTTGTATACTTTTGAGAAGGGTGTAACGTTTGATTGTTCACCACAATATAGAGGCTTTCTAGATACTGTCAAGGTGAGAGGAAGTGAGCAGTGGAGGGGAATCTGCCCCGCTGTGGCCTCCAGAAGTTTCCTGACCTCTTTCCTTCCTCTTCATCCTACACTCTAACCGCACAGTATCCCTCACAACACTATCACGGCATGCAGTCACAGCATCAGCAGTACCAGATGTGGAAAAAATCTTGGGACCTTTGTTGAAACAGCTGCTAAGGAGACAAACATCCCTAAAGACAGTGCAAAAAGTCCAGACACTGTACAATACTGAAATAAAGGTGGCAATTTTTTTGTACATTTCATACCAAAATATTTTTTTTTCTCCTACACAGATATAACATACAGAGTAGAGAAAATAAAATAAAGTTATGCAAAGAATGAATATAAGCAAACATAACAATCACTCAGACAAAGCAATTTTTTAAATATAATTAATACTAATGATACTGTTTTATAAATTAAACATACATCATTTTTTTATCTGGTTGACTGTATGATAACTTACTCCACCATTGTTGTAAAGAGGGTTCATTACCGGTTTCCTAGTTTTTTGTTTCTTTTGTCTTTGTTTCCATAAAAAAAAGAGGTTTTCTTAATCTAAAAGTCAACCTCACCTTTCCATTTTTCCATTTTACACTTCTGTTTGGTTTACAAGGCAACTTCCTTTCAGGCAGCTGCACACTAAACATCAAACGCATTCACATATTCCAAAGAAATCAAACAACTGTGTGTTTTGCAAACCTCACAGTGCACGTTTCTGACACACTGCGTCTCTTTAAAGTTTGAGAATGATGCTGTGAAAACAAACCCCAAAACCGCCAGCAGAGCTTGTACAGTTGGTCACTGACACAACTTATGGGGGAGCAGTTGAGTCACACTAATCAATTAAAGTCAACCACCATGTGTGTGGATGGCACATGTCCTATATGAGCAGGACTGCATGGTTACTTACATTGGGTCTCAGGCTGGCTGCTTGTCCGTAGTATTTCTCAGCAGCATCATTGAGGCTGGCTTGCCTGAAAGAGCACATAAACATTGCATGTTATTTCATCCTGTCGCACAGGTTTATTGCTGGCCATCAAACCGGGACCATTTGTTGACCAACTTTACTGCCACGGAAAAACTGAGCCAAATAGGGATATGAAACTGCCCGACTTCACAATTTTTGAGCAGAGAAAAGTGCCCTTATTTCTCAGGTCATGACCTACAACCTACTGGATGCTCTTTGAAGATCTTTACAACCTAAAGGTTTTTTTTTTTTTTCTATGTAAAAACACCCCACATGCATCTTCTAGCTGCTTGTACCTGCTGGTAGCAATAACTTCTTTGAGAAGTGAGTTCAATATGCAGACAATGACCGTCAGCCAAAGACAGGCTGGGTTGTAATGATGAAAGAGCCGAAGATTAATGATAGAAGACCGCTTTTCTTATTCTGGCCAGTTTTATAGACCCTCCTTTATCCTCAACAAACTGTTCTTGCTGAAAAGAGCTAAGGTTAAATGTTTCAAGAAATAGCTTTTTATTAAGAAAAAATAGGAAGGGCTGTACTTGAAACATTCAAGCAATGAGATGATGGATAAATTATGTCTGTGGAAAACATTCCAGTTCCAACCTTGACATTAGAGAGAAAGATGAATAAAGAAGATGATTAATGAAGACATAGCATTAATATACCTTTCAGGATGAAATTTCTACAAGAAAAACTGAGAGGGTATATTGTAGGTTAAGCAGCATTTCAGACACATGTTGCTCATGTTACAAATGACTGAAAACAGCAAATCTAGATCAGTGCTTTTAATTCCCTTATAATCATTAGTGGTTTTAAATTACGGTGGTCAATGGTTTTAAATTACGATGATGTCCATTTGGCTCCTGTAATAAATAAAATAAAGTCAATTTGGAAAAAAAATATCTGAGACATTTTAATTATTGTATGACAATATTTTCTAATCATTTACAAATATCAACTTATTTAGTACATTGACCATTATAAAAAATTACTTCTGCACTGTTGTTGCTTTCTTATGCAGTATAAATGAGTCTTAAAATATGCATCTGCCTTCATTTAAACTATTTAAAACCTCTCATTTAGATGTAGGCTATCCATTTTGAAAAATTAATTTGTCTTCCTTCTTAAACCTTGAATTTTCCCTAATGGCCTGACCTTTCTTGAACACAAGGGTAAAAATGATTAAAAATCTAAGATAAAAAGTTACACAAAAATCTATGGGATGACCGGTAAGCAGAACCATGTGTTACTGTTCATCATCCCCAATTCTGTTTTACAATCCTTTCCTCCTAAACGACGAGTCAGTGTAATTTTCACATTCACATGCACGCAATAAACCATAGCTTGATCATAACCACAATTGTCTGCAGGGACAAAGAATTCCCTTATAATCATCATTTGGAAAGTGACCACTCTTAACAGAGTCAAAACCCAACAGTATTAGGACTGGACTCTATGACCGCATTCCACAATTGTAATATATGGTGAAAATCTAAAAGACAGCATCCACTTGAACTCCCTAGGTCAGATCTAAACCTCCAAAATACAATAAAACAAATGTTTAATATCTGGCAACCAAAACTGTTCCTCCATCCCACCGCAATCTGCTCATTATATCATTCCAAAGTGGTCACCAACCTTCAGAGAAAAAGTATAACATAATTCATAACTTGTAACCATCTAAGACTGCATTACATGAGAGCTTCAAGGGTTACTTTTATAGTACAAAGCTATAGAAATCCTCAAAAAAAAATGGAGAGCTATGGATTATGGATAATAATGGGAACAATGCTAAAAGGCAATTTGTTTGAAATCAGACAGCAATTGTCATGAATCTATTGTGGAAGAAGGTGAATTTAGAGACGCAACTTGAAGGAGGGTTTTAGCATGCTGTAGACTGTTAAGACTTCCAGAATGCTATAATCCTCTCTAAGGAGATGGATTTATAAATGTATCCCGCTTAAAGTATTGCTGCTAAAAATACTAAAAAAGCAGAAATAAATCAAATAAGTAAAAAATGTGCAGCATGTATAATGTATTGTCTCGACTGAATATGATACTTTCACAGACAAACAAACAACTGGGAAAACTTGTTTGGAAGTAGTCAAATTTGACGTAGCTTTTCCTTAGCGTGGCAGTGACAGTTTGGTTGGGGTTTAGAATAACCAGCGGTCGTTTGAAGAGGGCAAGGAAACTGAAACTGATAGTAAGGAAGCAAACTTGTCGGTGCAGACGTGCCCCTGAGAGCCGTAAGAAAACGCTGCACATCTAAAGCGGTCCATCTGAGACCATTCTGCATGTCCTTTCAAGACAAACACACCAGGAACCTGATCTTCAAATAAGTTGGACCGCAAGCCAGTATGAAGGCAGGGGACACGGCCTAAGACAGCAATTAACAACCAAGTGTTCGTGTAGCATAAAGCCCCATGCAAAATCTGCTGAGGGGCTGTAATACTTTTTAGGAAGTGTGTAACTATATACCATGTGAACTCCATGTAGTAATTATGAGAAGTGTATTCAACAGAAACCTCGAGGCGAGGGTATTAATGCAGGCTTTCCATTACATGTCCTGTGGTGCACTGCAATAGAAAGAAAGCATCCATACAAATGGGTAGGTGGAAAGAGTAAGAGAAAGAGATAGAAAAACATCCTCTAATGCAGCGGTTCTCAACCGGTTTTGCTTCAGGAACCAGATTTTACATTGGACATCAAAGTGGCAACGAAACGCATGACCAATATTGTTCATCGTAAAAACAGGGTTGTGCACCACTCACAATCAAATTGACAAGACTCTTTAAACTCCAGTTCAAGATTTGCACTGAATTATTATTATGGCTGTAAACAAAATGGAACTGCAATTTGAATTTAAGGAAGCAGAATTAATATAAACTGAAATTCATATAAATCTAAAGTAAATATATATATATATATATATATATATATATATATATATATATATATATATATATATATATATATATATATATATATATATATATATATATATATATATTTAAAAAAAGTTTGTTAACAACTATAAAAGCTGTATAAAGTTTGTCAAGACGGGACAGAAAATTGCTTGAACGTTTTGGCAAGGTTTGTATTGACCTTGCAGAGAAACAGACAGCTTTATGGGAACTGGATGGAACAACATTTCCTTTGTATTACAATTCAGTAAATTCCGCATCCTGTCATTCCAATTCAACCGAACCGAACCAAAACAGTACGACTGCTACAAGAAAAATGTATGCTTTGTCCAGGGTATTTAATCATAGTAAAAAATGTTGTCTATATGGATTTAGCATGTCCTTCTCACCTGAGCATGTGAGCTGCACTGAAAACCACATCAAATTCTTCACTGTCCAACTGGGCGGCTTTCTCTGCCATTTCGGCAGCCTCCAAAAGCCGCGAGTCCTCCAGCAAAAACTGACCTGAGGAAGAAAAGGGGGAAATTTCATTTTATATTTGCTTTTACTCCCTCAGAAAGACAAATGTGAAATATTTCCTTTGGCTGTGGGACGGATAGTATGGTCTGCCCTTTCAATGATTCTGTGAACATGAGATAGCAAGGGCGCTGCACGCCGCGCAAACCATCTGACAGACCATTTGTCCAATTGAGATTTCTCCGATAGGCATGTTTCCGTGACAAATTAAATGCTTACTCCTGTAAGGTTGTGGAAAGGGGACCGACTGGGATCTGAAACCTCTGCAGTTTCGTTGCTAGAGGCATCGGTCAAGACCGAAGTGGAATAAACAACTTGTTGCTATTTGGCGAAACGGCACTCCACACTCCTGAACACTGCAGGGCCAAAACCAAATTTTTTTTCCCAAATAGCACTGGACCAAAGTAGAAACATAAGAAGTGATGTTATGCAAAGGAAGAAAGCTTAAAGTGCCCCAATTATGCTTTTTACAAGATATTACCTTTTTATGTAGTGTGTAATATAGCTCTTTGTGAATGTAAAAATGCTGCAAAGTTTCAAAGATCAAAGTGTTATTGTCTCCCTAAAGAAAGAACTGATTCTGAACTGCCTGAAGCTAGTCGTCAGTAATTCCAATCTTACTTCCTGCATGAACCTATGTAGGTTTGTAACAATTTTGCATAATGCCAGTCTACGGTTTTCATTTCACAAATGTCTACCACATAGAAATGTCCAGCTCAAGTCGTGCTCTGGTTGATCTGCTACTTTTTTCAATGTTTCCTTATTGGACTCAGGCTCGAACTGATACGGTAAAACCAACACCATTGTTTCTGTTCGTATCACTGTGTATACAAGTGCTGAGAAAGCTTCCAGAGGTGAAATTGGGATACGGTAATGGCTGTTTAGTTTACAACATGCGCTGTCAGCCTTAGACCAATCACAACCAACTGGGCAACAGATCTGACCAATCAGAGCAGAGTAGACTCAAGGACAGGAGGGGTTTAGAGAGACCGAATCTGTGAAAAAAGAGGTGATGCTGCAATGTATATTATGAGAAAATTAAAGTGTTTTTTTTTTTACTCTGGATGCATGTAAACCTATTGTAGGAGAATTCCAAAACTTTGAAAATTAGAGACATATATAAAATCGTAATGGGGCACTTTAAACATTGTCATCAATTAAGGCATGTCTGGGTGGCACAAATGATTGACATAATTATTGCAAAAATCAGCCATAAAGCAGCTTTCTCCCTTTGGTAAATAACAATGTGGTCAATCATGCAAAACGGAAAATACAAAGAAGAAGGCACGTTCTCCAGGACGGTGGTTATACACCAGAGAACAATAGAAGGAAATAGAAGATCATCCTTATGGCCTTTGGATAGTACGTGTTCTAAAGATGCCTGATCAGACACGTACTAAATAATATTACGCAGATGCCTTGGCAGCGATTGAGTGGAAAACACATTGTTGGGGTTAGCCAATGATGCTGTGTTTTTCTGGACTAAATCCATACATGGGAGCATCCAGGGACAGGTCAACTATGAAAATCTAGGATTTGTGGGAAAACGAATCAAGACTGATATGCCGAGATAGAACAAAAAATGCATCCTAATGATAATTTAACTTTTTTTTTAACATTCAATTTGAAACGACTGTAAATTTAAAACAAATACTGTTGGTAAAAATACGATGGCATACTCTAAAATATTAATAATGCAGTGCACTTCGAATATATGTTTTAAATGGTTTAGTTTTACAGTTTGGTCACATTATCCTCAACTAAAATGTTATTTTCTCAACATTTCCATTTCAAGAACAGCAAAATGGACAAAAATGAATGAAAATGACAGGACAACAAGTTGATTAAACTCACATTTTCATCAAAAACTGTTAATATATAAAAACAATGTAAAATCGACACTAAAAATAAGGATGTGATGCACAATAGTAATTCAATAAAGGTGATAAACAAACCAAAAATATTGTAAAATATATATATTTTTTAAATCCCTAGGAAGTGAACTGAAAAAATGGCCATAGGCTACAATTTGGCTAAGCCACATTCATGCAGATACACAAGAACCCTGGTATGCTTTTTCCTTAGAGAAATAAGGTCTCGTTATCTATCTTTGCTCGCTGAGGCGTGGGTGGTTTCGTCTCCCTGGAATAACATCTGTATACAAGGTACGCTTCAGATAACACCCAAACAATGACTTCCTGCACAGCACCATCTATCTTGCTGTGAAATAGCCAAACGTAACCTCAATTACAAGACTAAACTAAAGAGTTAAATGTGAACAATTACGGCCAAAACGGAGTGTAGTAAAATCGTGAAAGTATTTCACGAATTTCACTGCATCAGCAAAGCTAGAGCAGATGCAATGTTTGGAATCATATGACCTCATTATTTTTGCATTACTGGATGACTAGCTAATGTCGTTTCAGCCCATGTGGGCATGTTTAGGAGAGATTAAAAATAAAGCATTACCAACCATAATGCATATAGCAGTTTCCTTTAGTAGGATCGAGCTCGATCGCCTTGAGAAAGAACTTCTCCGCTTCAGTTTTCTGACCCTGAAATGAAACCAAACAAATCATAATCAGGAATTTCTTCAGGGTGAGGTTTTCATGGAATCTTTCACTTTAAACCTGATGATTTTTGACCTGATGTATAATTGATGATGATATGTAACAACAGGAAATGTGTTTAGCAATTCCAGTGCCTAATGCTGCTATAATTTATAAACCCCTTAACAGCATGATTTACATTTTCTAATGTCAAAATGCAACAGAAATCTTGCAAATACAACAAAAAAAGCTAAAATATCTCATAAAATATCATAAAATCATTTTATTAAGAGAAAAGAAAGTAACTTTAGAATGATGAGATACAAAAGTGAATAAACTTCTATTGCAATTTAAACCTTAAACAATACTCATTCCAGTCAAGAGGCATTATCATACTGTAGCACGCTCCCACGATTCACTTGATTAACATAACATGAAGTTACCTTTAGACCAGCTGCAAATCAGTGAAATATTTTTATTTACACTGTATAATTTAAATCCCCAAAGCAGTGATGTGTAACTTTAAATCAATGTATTACCAATGTATTACAGCCAGTGCTGTTTAATGTTAGACATGGATGTTTGCGAACTTACACCATGTCGAGAGTATGGAAGAAATAAAGAAAACAGACACATGGGACACTTGACTATCATAGTTTATGCAATGGGGAAAAAAAGGGTTAGAGCAGTAGTGCAGTAGAATAAAGTACATATTATTCCTGTGGTGGCAAAACTGAATTTGCAGATGCCAGAAATCGTTCTAAAATGCTGATCTGCTCAAGATACATTTCTTCTTTTAATTTACTATTTGGGAAAACATTGTGCTACTTAATAATTTCCGCCACAAAGTTTAATCCGTTAAAGCCTAATGAAAGCCATATTTTGAGTACTTTTTACTGTATTAGTCGAACTTGGCAAATATGACAATGCAAACAGCTGTGTTGCACCATCAGTCCATTTCACGGCGTGGTTTCTCGGCCTTCACAGAGGATGTGTTAAAGCGGACATAAGGCCGTCATATCGATATGCTGCCCTAAAGAAAGCTAACAAATAGATAATTCATGCAAACTGTTTTTATTAATGCGCATCCATACTCTCGTTTTCTTCATAGTAAAATGGCAGATGCGCAAAGGAATTAGGTTATAGTACAGTTAGGCGAGATGTAAATAGTTTCTCGTGCACATACAAATGTTTTTCATGCGCATGTGAAAGTCTTTACATTTTTTTATTTTTGCAAAGGTACCTTTAGCGGCTCCGTACTACTGAATTGTATACTAATGAGCCAAAACAATATGACCAGTCACAGGGGAAGCGAATATCGTTGATCATCTCCTAACAAGGCCCCATATTAGGGTCTGGGTAGATTAGATAGTAAACAAACAATCAGTTTTTGTAATTCGTAATCAACGTGTTGGATGCAGGAGAAAAGGCTAGGAATAAAGATCTGAGTGACTTTGACAAGGGCCAAATTGTTATGACAAGATGACTGGGTCAGAGTATGGCAAGGCTTCTGAAACGGCAAGCCTTGTGGGTTGCACCTGTTCAGCAGTGGTGAGAATTTACCAAAAGTGGTCAGAGGAAGGGCAAACTACAAACCGGCGACAGGGTGTTGGAAGGCAACAAAGGCTTTCACGCAAGTGTCGGAACTGGACCTTGCTGACCTTCACCTGGTCCGATGAGTCCAGTTTTCTTTTACATCACATGAACGGCCGTATACATGTGCGCCGTTTACCTGGAGAAGTGATGGCACCAAGATGCACTTTGGGTCGACGACAAGCCGGTGCAGGGACTGTGATGCTCTGGACTAAATATCCTGCTGGGAAACCCTAGTCCGGCCATTCAGGTGGATGTAAATTTGACACGTGCCACCCACTGTAGCTAAACGTTGTTGCAGACCAGATACACCCCTTCATGACAATGGTGTTCCCTGGTAAAAGTGGCCTCTTTCAGCAGGATAAGTCACCCTGCCACCTTGCACACATTGCTCAGGAATGGTTTGAGGAACACGATGAAGAGTTCAAGGTGTTGCCCTGGCATCCAAATTCCCCAGATCTCAATCCAACTGAGCACCTGTGGGATGTGCTAGAGTTAGACCAACAAGATCACTCCACGGTGGCTCCACCTTGCAACCTACATGACGTGAAGGATCTGCTGCAAATCTCTTTGTGCCAGATACCATCCGGCCATTCAGGTGGATGTAAATTTGACACGTGCCACCCACTGTAGCTAAACGTTGTTGCAGACCAGATACACCCCTTCATGACAATGGTGTTCCCTGGTAAAAGTGGCCTCTTTCAGCAGGATAAGTCACCCTGCCACCTTGCACACATTGCTCAGGAATGGTTTGAGGAACACGATGAAGAGTTCAAGGTGTTGCCCTGGCATCCAAATTCCCCAGATCTCAATCCAACTGAGCACCTGTGGGATGTGCTAGAGTTAGACCAACAAGATCACTCCACGGTGGCTCCACCTTGCAACCTACATGACGTGAAGGATCTGCTGCAAATCTCTTTGTGCCAGATACCATCAGGGGTCTTGTAGAGTCCATGCCTTGGAGGGTCGGAGGACCAACAGCTATTAGGCAGGTGGTCATAATGTTTTGGCTCATATACATATTTTTGAGTATATACATATATTTGATATATTTGGGTTTTGATTCATATGAAAAATATGCATGTCCTTATTTGAATAAGTGAGGACATGCATCAAGATAAGCTTCGTCAAGTTCCTGACAAACACATGTCAGTGTCATTCACCGAGGTCATGTTATCACTCTAAAGCAATATCCTGCTTCACCCCCCTTTCCTCTGAACACACACCCCCTCCCTCTCTGCTGGACCCCCGACCCCTTAATCTGAGCATGACATCAGAGAGACAACAGACACACTGCTGTTCCAATGTCTCAGAGGTGTTCTCGAACGGATTCTGAGCCTGATTAGCGACGGAAATGAGAGAATTCAATAATGCAGCTGAAGCACTCATAACACGCACGCACACACACACACACAAACACACACGAGTTTGTGAATGGAGGTCAGGGAAGGTCAGCACAACAGGGGAAAGGACTGAGTTTCATCATGTCTCCTTCTTTCAACCCCTGACCGTGAAGATTTCCCTGTCCCCTCCTGGAAATGATGCCTGTGACAATGTGATGGTGACTGCATGAACAATTCCTCATTGTTAAAGTACATTTTTTTACATTAATTAATGACATTAAGAAGACTGACAAAAGTGACAGTGAACACTTTTACACTATTGCAAAAAGAATCAATTTCAAATAAATGCTGTTCTTTTGAACATTCCATCCATTCACAAAAATATTTTTTTTTACAAAAAGCAGCACGGTTTTCAGCGTTGATAAGAAATGTTTCTTGAGCACCAAATCCACACATTAGAATGATTTCTAAAGGATCATGTGACACTGAATACTGGTGTAATGATGCTGAAAATTCAGCTTTGTCAACAAATATTTTCAAATGTTTTTAAGAAGACTGAAAACACTGGGAAATGAATATGTTGTATTATAAACCCAATTTAAAGGGTTTTTATAATTATAAGGCTGCCAATTTAATGTTTTAATTCAGTGTAATTAATTAAAAAAGCTATAAATGAAAGCAATTAATCATGCCTTCTAATTAATTGCAAGTGTATGTATAGGACATTTTTCTATCATCAGAGCAATTCAAGTATGAAATACGGTCATTTCTAATATATGCATTTAATTTTGTTAATTTGCATATCACATAGTTAAACCAATTCTTAATTTTATTCAATTGACAGCCCTAATAATAATACATTTTGTTTACAAATACTGAACGTCTTGCCCTCTCAACCATTCAAGTTTGTTCAAGGCCACTCATGTTTTCCTTTGCTTCTGCATTAAGCAAGCAGAAAACACAAGGACCTGAAAGCTTTGATCTGAAAACTTTGTTCAAAATCAATACGGCTCTGAAGTCAAGACAACACCTTTTGAATTTGCTTTCACTCGAGTGAGTTTCATCACAGCAGTGTGGTTCTGTGATGGATTGACTATGTCTTTGGTGGACTGACTTTGTTCTGGCCTCTTCAAATGGCTTCATTCTTTGGTTGTAGTGCGAGTTACAGAAGAGGCCTGCTCGGGACAGATTTTTCAGTCCAACTCCCGCAAAAATGTTGCCTTCTCCCACTCCCATCCGCAAAATTAATGTTTGTCCCGCTCACGTCCCGCAGGTTAAAGTAGATTTTTTTCAGTACGTCCATGAAATTTCCATTTAATAGTTTCAAGTTAGGCCACCTAGCAACTACCTACCCCAGTATAAACACTCCTGATATATTATTTGTTATTAAAAAAATCAACATTCACAAACCACTGTTAATTTGAACAGAAAATTAAGTAAAGGCTACTGAATGCGTGATTTGGCATGGCAGAAAGTGTGCAAAGATTGCTCCCTTCATAATCACTAAAAGGCTATCACTCATTTGAGTTAATTTAACCTAAATTAATCAAAAGTTCCGTTATAATAAATGAAGCTGACTGAACAATTAATCTCTCATAAGCATGAGGATTTGCGAGCGTACAGAACTCAGCACTGAATACTTTAATAATGTTCAATTATTAAAAAACTTGATTTTTGCTGTCGTATCGAAGTTAAGTGGGCTTTAAGTAATAAATGTAAAGCAAAGTTACATTAACCCCCCTATTTTTTTTGGCTGATCAGAAAAATTATCCAATCTGTGATTCAAAACCCGTAATATGATCCGAACCATAAGTTTTGTGATAGAAACAGCAAACAACAGCAAAAAAAAAATTAGAAGCAACAGCAACAGAACTAGTCTTACACACCTCATAAGTCTATGCTTGACCCTGTGAATGTTTTTTTTTTGTTCTTGTTGCTTTTGTGCAATAGAGCAATAACAATTTATTTGTTTTGGGATATTTTATGTTTTATATATTTCTATTTTGTTGGAGTCCCGCAAATCACTTTAATCTCCCGCGACCCACACATACGAGTGTCTTAATGCCCGCACCCGCACTTGCTCATCAAATGCGTTGCGTCGGGTCCCGCAGGAGTGCAGGCCTCTAGTGTGAGTCCCTGTTTTGGGATGTTTGCGGACTGAGTGTCTTGGGGTTTACGTCAACTAAAAGAGAAAGGAATGTCAAAGAGAGAGAGGGACAGAGAGACAGAGCCCTTTGATCTAACAATTTATTCTTGGCTGTGTGAAATGATGTAACTGACAGAAATGTTTGGTCAATCTAAACTGTTTATGGAGTTTTATAAAAATAACTTCAGCCAAAAGTGTTTCAAGTTTTACCCATATTTGAAAAGTCAGTTATGGTACCAGCAAAAAAAAAAAAAAAAAAAAAAATATATATATATATATATGTAAAAAAAACAAAACACATATACATACATACATGCATATATATACACATATATATATATATATATATATATATATATATATATATATATATATATATATATACACGCATACATATACACACACACATATATATATATAATTCCTCATTAAATCTATTTATAAAAAAATATATATTAATAATACTTATATATAAAAAAATAAATACTTTCATTCAGCAAGGATGTATTTATAAGAACAAATTCTGATCCTGCTACTGTTTTTAATAAAGTGTATAGACATTTTGGCTACAGCTTCTGCCTTTTTGCCTCATTTTAATGAAAGATGACAGAGGACAGGGAAAATGTATCCCTTACAGGGATCAGGGATCCCTTATGGACACAACAAACACCTGATATGAACCAACATTTCCAAAATGAGCACCACAGCTTAACATGCCTGGAACATGTCCAACTGCTATTTCACAGTGCGATTCCAAAAATAACTTTTATCTTTAGAATAGCATGCACAGATGAATCATTCACAATGAGAACAGGAACCTGTATTAAGAAAGTATGTTGACTTTACACGATACCGCTAAGTAGTGGAGATTCCATCACATTTCTCATTTGATTTTCTTGCCATAGTAGCTTAGTAGTGAAGCTCCATTTCTGCTAGAACCCGTCAGAACAATCCCTCTTTCAAAAGCACACTGCTTTCCTTGTACTGTCTGCTGAGCTTTCAAAGATGCTAAATTAAGACAGCCTGTATTTTCTTTACATAATCAGCTGGTGGTGGCCTCATGGAAGAAAAAGGCCCGGAGAGGACCATATGGCCAAAGTGGAAATGAAAGGAGACAGACACAGGTACACTCTCACCTCCCCTCAACCTTTTTTTTAACACATCTTCTCTCATATCTGTCCACACGGATTTCTGCTGAGTGAATTCAGAACCAGGGCATATGTGCGAGTAATCCGGTCTTTGTTTTTTTTTAGCTAGATCAGTTTTTCAGTTCTAAATGTTAAGATTAGAGAAAAAGAAAGAATGCCTTTGGTTTTAAGGCATGACTTCTCGGTTTAGATTAAAAAGAGAAGTCGGTTTAGACTGAGAAGTCATGCCTTTGGTTTTAAGGCATGACTTCTCGGTTTAGATTAAAAAGAGAAGTCAGTTTAGACTGAGAAGTCGGTTTAGACTTCTCGGTTTAGATAAAAAAGGTTTCTTTATAATGGTATCTTCTTGCAAAAAGCCAATGTGTGCTCAAGCTACATTATGCCTAAAGGGTATTTAACGTTCAATGAGAGAATTTTGACTTTCAGATAAGGACGTTTACGGAGTTACTAATAGGTCATTTATCTGATGTCTCAGTGTTTTTTGTCTGTGAAATGAAATATATCCAATGTTGTTTGGGAACCTTTTGACTTTTATTATATGGTCAAAAACAGTCCTCTCTATTTCAGTAGGCACTGTTTCTGAACTCCCTGAAACGTCTCGATTATAGATTTTTTCCAGGAATGTACTCATCACAATATTCATCATTTAAATAATTCCAAACCAAGGCATAAAAAAAATAAAAATAAAAAAAAAAAGGAAAAAAGGGGTAAGGCCTGGTTGAGTTGTTTTAGTAGTGTGTTGTTGCCAAGTCCGAGTGTAAGCTGAAACTTGCGGTTATAGTAAGGGACGTGACATTTGCGAAACACGCTTGAAGTAGTTGACCAATCACAACACACTGGTCCAGCCGACCAATCAGATCACATTGTGCTTTTCAAAAGGAGGGGCTTCATAGAGAAAGGTACTAAACAGAGTGTTACTGACAGAGTGGGAAGAGTGTGTAAAATGTAAAACAATGTAAAATGTGAAAACCAATGTGTTTTTTTGAACATTCGAGCATGAAAACCTATTCTTATAGACCCCAAAAACAATTGACATAGTAAAAGAGCATAATATGGCCTCTTTAACAACTAGGTAACAACCCATTACTCGGTTAGTGTTCATTCGAGTGTGAGTTTACCGTCATAGCCAGGAGCTTGCCGTAAGTGAGGTGTGCAGGTATATGGTCCGGCTTGGATCGGAGAGATTCCTTATACCAGTGTTCTGCCTCTGTCAGTTTGTTCAGCCTCATGTAGGCCTCTCCTATGAGGGGAGGAGACAGGGGTCAGGTCAACATGTCAAAAGTTAAGGAAGCACATAACAACCCCCCTCGCCGTGGTTTATCCCATAGCAAAAATAGAGGCAGTCAACTGAAAATGACCCACAAATCGTCTGAAATGTGATACTAGAGCCTTCTTTCATTTATGTAAAATGAGCGTTGAGTGAAACCAACAGACATTCAATTATTTATTAGATTACATTCGATTATTTATATTAACCAATTTTTGCATGGGATATTTAAAAAAAATTAAAAGGCATGAGGCCTCAAAAATAATCCTGCCGATGGACTTTTAGATTTTATGTTTTTGAAAGAAGTCTTTTATCCTCACCCAGGCTGCATTTATTTGCTCAAAAATACAATAAAACAGTAATATTGCAAAATATTAATTATACAAATATTTGTTTATAATTTAATGCATTCATGTGATGGCAAAGCTGAATATTCAGCATCATTACTCCAGTCTTCAGTGCCACATGATCCTTCAGAAATCATTCTAATCCATTTCAGGATGTAATACCATGCAAGATGAATAGAAAGTTAAAAATAAAAGTATTTAGTTGAAATAGAAATCTTTTTAATAAAATACAAATTTACTCGCACTTGTTTCAGTATTAATTTTGGATTGAGCATAAAAAGTTACATTAAAAATTGTAAATACATCAAAAGCAAAAACACACTTAAAAGAATTGTTAACTAATTCAAGTATTTACATTTAAAAAAACAAAAAAAAACACTATATATAAAAACAAACAAACAAAAAGTGATGTATTCTACTACTATAAAAATACAGCGCCCTCTCTGGCCTTCAGCTCAGCAATTGTCCGAGCGCCAACCCTACTCTTATAAATCCAGATGTAAAAGCAGACTCTTTAAAACACGAGTATAAACACACACTCCTATCCTTTAAACATCATCTAATACCTCAGCCAGCTTCATGCTCCCACCCATCTGCAATAACACACACGCTCCTCTCAGACAGATTATTACAGAAGAGCGGATCACAGCTACTTCACTGAGATAACACAGCCTAAACATTGTTAATGTAATGTAATTAGAGCAAAAATAACATAAGCAGAGGGTACGTGACTACACTGGGGTTCACATGACCCGCCAATCTGAATACAAGTCTGTCTGTGTTGTGTTGGTGTCAAATATAGGACATGTGGGTCATTAAAACAGCCTCAAGTCAAATAACTCTGGAATTTTTTATTATATATATATATATATATATATATATATATATATATAAACAGTAATCATAATCTAATCACAGTTCAAGAGAAGCATATCTTGCAAAAAACAAAAGAGAGAGGGGATCTTCTTTAATAGTTATTATAGTGCTCCATTAAAGTCTTAAACATTTTGAGGAGTGCATTATTGATATTTTAATTTAAAATTCTTAACTGACTTATGCTGAGGATTCTTTTTGTATTGATATAAAACATGACTTTGTTGTTATTCAATCACATACCAATCTATTGCACTGTAGCCTATTCCAGATCTTACGTTTTTGATCAATTTACCACTTCAACTTCAATAGAGACTGTTGACTAAAACACTTGTATTTTTGTATGTAGTTGAATTTATTTATTTATTTAATTGAAAATTCCAGTATTTAGCATACTCCGTCATTATTAATGATGTCTGGTGGCACAATTGATGTGAATAGCTATTGTTTTGAATGCATTTATATGTATACTTGCATGATTATTTTTCTGTCTTTAAATGTAAAATCGAATGCTAAAAGATATTATATTCCCTAGAATGCAATTACAAATTGATATGAATAAAATACACAACCACAAAATAATGTGTTAGGCACTGTAGACACTAAGTGTCTAAGTAAATATTTACAAATATTTGGTTGTACCACCTGACCAAAAAAAAAAAAGTAAAAAATGTATTTAAACACTTTGAAATGTTATTTAACAATTGAACTTTTTAAACACACAATTCCTGACTCTGCATTATGAATATGCATTACATCCATTTTGAAAAGACTGAAGAAAAAAACATTTTTTTTTTAAGCTTTATTTGTCATTGACCCAAATGTACAAAACGTACACATGTTGGTCTATTTATCAATTTAAAATGATTGTTTAACATTTCGACACAATCCGATTTCCTCAGTAAATTTGTATTTGGCTTAGTTGGTCAGAGAAGACAGCTGTCAATTTTGGCTGTTAAAATGAGCTTAATACAGTTGAAACAGCAAAAACTAACACAAGAACACAGAAAAAGACAAGTGACCACAAATGAGCTTGGGGAGAAACAAACAGGGAAAGGAGAAAAAATACAGTTATGATGAGATAATTGTGAGAAAATGGATTGGAAGGAAAGCTGTGGGTTGGTAAATGTGTTGCATAAGATATTAAAATCCAACAGTCTGCTCCCATGCTTTAAATAAAATGGGATAATGATTCTCACGCTCTCTGTTGTACAAAGCGTCTAACTTATCTTGTGTGTGAAGCTGTTGACTCAAGCTGACAAAATCAATTCTATAGATCAAAGAAAGCTTTGGAAATGGGTTCATGAGAAAAAGCACCAATACAGTTACAGACCCAGACTTGTGAGACAAGATAAAAAAACAACAATATGGAGTTACACTTCCAGTATGTACGGTATAGTGTACAGTCAGTCAGTCTTTATCACAAAATAAACCTGACACTGATGGTTTGTATCACCCTCAAGGGGTTTATTTTGCAACAATGACCCGCTGACTGTACATTATCCCAGTTATTACACAAATGCTTACCAAATAAATACTGTGTATGGACATGAATTATTGATTTGAGTTGAAATATATTTAAATTATCTTCTGGACAGCTAACCTAGCTTATCTTGTGTAGTTTATTATTTTGTAGCTAGCTTAGCAGAAAACAATCATCTTAGAAACCATGGAAGACACTGCAACAATATTATATACATTTTTTTTTTTTTTTTTTTTTTTTAAAGAAATTACGTTTTATTACAGTTTTTTTCAATTGTTTACACACAATTTTGAAAACTGGGTTCTTATTTTCAAAATCTAATCACAATTATCCAAACACCACACTCAATTTGCATAATTCCTAGATTGTTTGCAAAATGACACACTTCTGTCAAAACATACACACTTCAGTCAAAAGATATACGCATATTTGTGAAAATGCTATTAGTTTTCATTTAACCAACACAGTCCTCAATGATCAGACACTATTGCAGCCAGTTTCACACGGCTGTGATAAATAAAAAACACATTTGTAAAAAAACTATTTTTAGGAAATAGCATGTGCTAGATTTTTGGCCAGACATTGTTATGTAAGGGATAATTTAGATGAAAAAAAAAAAATAGTGACAAACCCACAACATTCTTCATGATTAGTTTGAGATATAGGGAGAATGTACACAAATAGGCCTACTATAAACTTGCCAAGCACTGCACAACACTGATTTCTGCAGACTCATATTTCAAGTATTTATTTACAGTATTTCTTACCATAATCAGTTTCAGTAATCAACCAACAAAGAAATCAATGAAAAAAATAAAATCTGTAGACAAATAAAAATTAATGCATGAAGTACATACAGTTTGACTCTGAAGAAAAACTACTGTAAAAGCAACAAGAATACTGTAACTATTCAGTTACAGTATCAACCAGAGATTTGGTTGATCTCTTTGTCCAGCTTCCATCAGTCCATGGTTGATAACATGGTCAATAAGTGTTGCACGGATTTCTTGAGTCAAATTTGGTCCTCGTCTTCTTTGTTCAGGTTCTATCAACTCTTCAAGTCCTTCTCTACCTCTTCCTCTACCTAGGCCTCTTCCTCTATCTCCTTCTTCTCCTCTTCCTCTACCTGGGCCTCCTCCTCTACCTCCTTCTCCTCCTCTACCTCCTTCACCTCTTCCTCTACCTCCTTCTCCTCTTCCTCTACCTCCTTCTCCTCCTCCTCTACCTCCTTCTCCTCTTCCTCTACCTCCTCCTCCTCTACCTCCTTCTCCTCCTCTACCTCCTTCACCTCTTCCTCCTCCTCCTCTACCTCCTTCACCTCTTCCTCTACCTCCTTCTCCTCTTCCTCTACCTCCTTCTCCTCCTCTACCTCCTTCACCTCTTCCTCTACCTCCTTCTCCTCTTCTTCTACCTCCTTCTCTTCCTCCTCTACCTCCTTCACCTCTTCCTCTACCTCCTTCTCCTCTTCCTCTACCTCCTTCTCCTCCTCTACCTCCTTCACCTCTTCCTCTACCTCCTTCTCCTCTTCCTCTACCTCCTTCTCCTCCTCTACCTCCTTCACCTCTTCCTATACCTCCTTCTCCTCTTCCTCTACCTCCTTCTCCTCCTCTACCTCCTTCACCTCTTCCTCTACCTCCTTCTCCTCTTCCTCTACCTCCTTCTCCTCTTCCTCTACCTCCTTCTCCTCTTCCTCTATCTCCTTCATCTCCTCTTCCTCTACCTCCTTCACCTCTTCCTCTATCTCCTTCTTCTCCTCTTCCTCTATCTCCTTCTTCTCCTCTTCCTCTACCTGGGCCTCCTCCTCTACCTCCTTCTCCTCTACCTCCTTCTCCTCCTCCTCTACCTCCTTCACCTCTTCCTCTACCTCCTTCTCCTCCTCTTTGAGCTCCCCCTCTTATTCTCACACTTCTTCTTCTTCTTCTTCTTCTAGCTCCTTCCATTTTTGTTGAAGACAGGTGAACTCACCTGCTGCCTTTTATAGCACACCTGAGTGCTGCGTTTTCAAATTAGCACATGTGTGCTTCCACACCTGGTGGATGTGTATATCCAATTCATTCATTAGTGTGGTCAATGGCAAACCGGGGCTTTGTAATGACAAGGAAGTAATCTCACAATCCTTAACTGTGTCTAAGGTGTGAAAATGTGTGTAGAGTTTTACAAATTACTGTGTGTAATGTTTTGCAAAAAGGGTGAAGCTGACAACGTGCTTACAATTGTGCAAATCTAGGCTGGTGTTTTGGTCCTTGAGTGAAAGGTTTTGCTAATAGTGGGAAAGTTTTAATTTTAGTGTGTAAGCAATTGAAAAAAACTGTAAGTAAAAATGCATTAAATTAAGCAAAAGTGACAGTAAAGACAAGTATAATGTTACAAAAGATTTCTATTTCAAATAAAATGCTGTTCTTTTGAACTTTCTATTAATGAAATAATTTTGGAGAAAAAAAAGCATAATGGTTGCGACAGAAAAAAAACAAAAAAACAGCTTTGCCATCACAGGAATAAAATACATTTATTTTAAATCTTAATAATATTTGACTTTTTTTTATTATAAAAGACTACTGTTGTTTTTTTTTTGTTTTTTTTTAAATCTTACTGACTAGTTGGATATAAAAGTTCCATTGAAAGTTATATGCTCATTATTAACAATACTATCCTCCAAGAGACATAAAAATACCACAGGTACAACAATCACATATCGTCACCTTCCTAAAATAATTGCCTAAAGTCATTTGAAAATGAAAATGAAAATGACATGGGCAATTATTTTAGGAAGGTGACAATATACAGTATGTATATATATATATATACTGCAGTCATTATAAAAATATATATGACTTGGAATGAAGTATTCTAGTCGAAAGAGACAAACTTACCAATCATATTATAAAGGCTCTGTGGGGCAAACTGCCTGGGCATCTTCTGAATGGCTTCTTTATATACCGATATGGCCTCCTAAAAAGGAGTACACCATTAATTCAATAAAAAGCAACAACTATAAGCATAATGAAGCACTCAGACTAAAAGCCAATTCCTGTGAAACCTTTTTTTAAAAGGTTTATAAATTACAATTGTGCTGCAAAAATGGGTTAAGACTTACACTTTCATGTCATTTCATTTTATCAGATTTGGTGTAAACAGACTTTAAAATTAAAGGGTTTAACTGTGCAAATATCAGCTCACCTCCTGGTGACCCTGTTCATGAAGAAGCTTTCCCAGGTTATACAGGCAGCTGGTGACTGAGCTCTTGTGTGCATGAGGATCCTTCAGGTTTTCATCTGGGATATCGGCACAAGTGACAAAGGTGCGCTTGGCCTCCTCTAGACGGCCCTGGTTCATCAGGACAATTCCTGTGTTCAAGTAGGCGGCTGAATGGGAAAGAAAACCGGATGAATATCCATGCAAAAGGTAACGAGGCTTATTGAGGCTCAAAGAAAGACCTCCACTGGGGCTAGTGGAATGAACTAGTTGATTTATGCAAATAAGCGGCCTGCAGTCTAGTCGATAAGGTGCCAATACATATTCACTATCATCCTGGCCAGACTCAACTCTAAATCAGCAGGGGAATATCCCCTCCAGCTGCAAGCTTAATTCTGATTAACTTAATAGACCATAATATACACATAGAACCACAGATAGAAATGAGTTTACATCACAGGATGGGACAATCCATCACGACTCATGCAGCAAGGAATCAGGAAAAGTAGACATCTGTCACTCTCCCGAAGGCTGCTATGATCTCACACTATTACAGACGTCACACAAACTAACCTAATTACACACTGGCTGACCAGCTAGTGATAGACTAGATTAAACCCCCCCCCCCCAAAAAACAAGGCCAAAATCCTTTCATACTATCTGGCATATACTGATGCATTTGCATTTATTCTGAAATCAGGAAGTCATCCTTAAATGTTGCACAAAATGTCTTATCCTTTTGTGAAGCAAAACTTTAACTTACAGGGATAGTTCACCCAAAAATGAAAATTATGTTATCATTTACTCACCATTATGTTGTTTTTAAAACCTGTATGACTTTCTTTCATCGGTTTAACACAAAATACAATATATTTTGAAGAATGTTTGTAACCTAAAAGTTGACGGTAGTCATTGATTTCCATAGTATTTTGTCCCTACTATGGAAGTCAATGGCTACTGTCAACTGTCTGGTTACCAACATTCTTCAAAATAAGGGTGAGTAAATTATGACAGATTTTTCATTTTTGGGTGAACTAACACTTTAAAAATCCCAAGGCCCCAGTGCACATATGATCATTTTCTCCCTGGACAAATCTACTAATTTAAGCAGAGCAGCAATTATTTCCTCCCATGACACTAAAAACAACATGGGAAATTATATGAGAAACCTTAAAACGGACAAAAATAGCACATGCATTTCATCTGTACACAGGACAAGCAAATGCATCAATATTTGCCAGATAGTATGAAAGGATTTTTGGCCTTGATTTTCTCCCCCAGTCGAAATCAAAGGTCTGTCATTCCTTGACAAGAGTGGAAACAGAGCAACTGTTTAGGCATGTGAATAATCATTATTTCTTTAATGCTACACACACACACACACACACACACACACACACACACACACACACACACACCTTTCAATTTGTAGTTGCCTGGACACAGCAAAGACTGAGAAGGCTTGAAATTGTTCATAAAAAGAGGAGCTGTACTTACAAGCCAGTGTTGGCCTGCTCCCAATTGCCAGCTTATAGTAGTGGAGGGCCTCTGAGAATCTATTGTTTTCCTGGAGCAACAGACCCCTGCAATCCAAGGGAAGAAGAAAAAAACAAGAACAGTTCCAAAGTATGGTGTTACGACCCAATAGTGCAACACAATTAATTAACATTGACTATAATGGTTTATTTATGACTTGTTTCCTTTTTTGTCATTTCATTTATATCCAAATTTGTTCAATGATATTTGAGGTACATAACTATAAAATCGACTTCCAGAGAACAAAAACTAACATAAAGCCCTTGATTCTGTACTAATATTTCAGAAGGCTAGAGGAAAATAATATATTTTCTTTTTACTTATGAATAATATAATGCTGTTTAATAAATAAATTGGCAGTAAAACGTTCCATGCAGTGGGACGGAGTGTGCAAAATCTGTCACACTAATCTCAGGCAAGTGGGTATGTATACGCTTGTTGAAAAATTAAGATGCATCGAGAATCGTTTTGTAATCACATCACGACTCTCTGAATTAAAGCCAAATCGAATTGTGAGGTGCCTAAGGATTCCCAATCCCACTGCTTTATATGGATAACTGAATAGCCCAAACGTGTGCGGTTTATGAATTATGTATTAAGTGCCTTAATGCCCTGACTGTGGGGGTTAATGTGTCTAGGGGGGTCCCTGTCAACGTCCTCTGGAAGGCTGATGAATCTGGGGACAGTCATCGTCTGGCCTCTCAGAGATTTCCTGAGATTTAATAGGACAGATCGATAGAGTCTGCCGCGAGGAGGAAGTTCGCTCACTCACAGGTTATACAACATGTCAGCCATGTTCCTCCGGTAGTACAGAGCGTTCCTGTAGGCTTGCTCGGCCTCCGCCACCTTTCCCTGGTTCTTGAGGACGTTTCCCAAGTTACCCCAGGCTGAGGAAGGAGAATAAAACATATTTAAATTAATAGAACAAAAGAAATGAGTCTGGACACATCTGAAATCGATGGACAAACAACCTACAAAATACTAAAAAACAAAAAAAAATTCCTCAGAAAAAAAAGGAGATGCAAGTATGCACTACGAAAAAACCCATTAAACTTAAAAAAGAAAAAAAAGAAAAAAGATGATAATATTAAAAACAGCTTTCCACGTCATTTTATCATGGTTGTATAAAACACGTATTTAGCAACTAAAATGTAATATTCATGTTGCCGTGTGGTCATTTTTTTCTGGTAATCCAAATATGTAAACTGCATGTAATTTCTTTGTTACATTACTGGTTTAATCTTTGAAGTGGTCTCCAGACTGTTGCATTTTGGTTGCGGTTAGGTTACAGTGCAACATTGTGAAATTTTATGAAAATGTTTTGTGCTTGCGGATACAGAGATTTAAATTCACAAAAGGTGAATAGTGCTTACGAGAGGCACAAGCAAGGGGAAAAAAAGTAAATTACATTAAAATAATGCAATCTTAGACGCTACCCATGCATAGTATCTGTGCCATGAAAAGGGGTGAGAGTGCCATAGCCTGTAAAATTGGATCACGGGGAGGTAATCACAAAGTCATATTGATGCAGTCTGGCTTGATAAATGATTTAAATGAAATTGTTATAATCAATTTGAGAGATTTCGCAAATGAAGATAACGGGCTGTCATTAATAGATTGAATTTAATAAGAGAGGATGATAATTTAACAGTTCAGTGGTTCTCCTCCACACAATAAATGAATTTGATGGATAAATCAATGTGACTGATAAACTGAAGGAACTTTTTGATGAATCTAATGCACTAGATATCTTGATTACGATAAAATAAGTAATATTCTCAGTGTTAATGGAAAATAGCACTTGAAAGGCATTTGCGGTTCTTTTTTTTAGTATTTTTACACTTTGTAAATGTCAATATCACTCAGTTAAAAAAAAATATAAATTAATGTTTTATATTTAAATTAAAATCTTTGAAGAGAAAAATGAAGAGATGCTTAGGAAACCTCAAACCTCAAAACTTTTCATGATGAGCAACTGCCATTTTTGGTTTGCAATAGCATTTTTTTTATTTTGGGGAAATAAATGATCGCAACACATCCTGCTTTCACATCGTCAAGTACCACAACTCCTGGTTGTTGTACTGTTGATGGATGAGAACTTGACTTTGGGGAACTAAATACTACAATTTGGCTGAATAAACTAGAATCATGGTCTGAATAGAGCAGGGTTATATTAGTCAACTAGAATTAAAACCATAAAAAAACATTGTCACATCAAATAAAATATTCGTTAATTGAAATATACGTATACACTACCGTTCAAAAGTTTGGGGTCGGTACGATTTTAAATACTTTTAAAAGAATTCTCTTCTGCTAACCATGGCTGCGCTTATTTGATTAAAAATACAACAAAAATCAGTTATAGTATTAAATATTATTCCAGTGTAAATCAGCTGTTTTCTGTGTGAATATATAGTAAAGTGTAATTTATTCCTGTGATCAAAGCTGAATTTTCAGCATCACCAGTGTCAGTGTCTTCAGTGTCAAATGATCCTTCACAAATCAGTATAATATGAGGATTTGATGCTCAAGAAACATTTATTATTATTATCAATGTTGAAACAGTTGTTGGTCTGTCAATAAAAGTATTGATTTCTTTCCTCCAAAAAATAAAAATAAAATTCTCACTGACCCCAAACTTTTGAACGGTAGTGTATATAAAACATATATAGCCTATAAAAAATGTAAACTTATTTAATTTCAGCTAATTGCCAAGGCAAAATTTAGTTTAATTTAGTTGAACTTTAGCTTATGTACTAAAATAACTAAAACTAAAATAACATTTAATAAAAACTACATACACATAATAAAAACCAAAATTTTTAATGAAACTGGAAAATATAAAAATACTAGTTCAAAATATTAATAAAAACTATTATACAATCTCAATGGTACTAAAATTACACTGGAATAGAGAACAATCTTGAAAGCTTCTAATGGTGATTATAATATCTTTGAATAATTATAAAATAATAGGGAACAAAAAATAGGCAGAAAATAGGTTGAATCTCCTGAATTACTTAAAATTACCTTTAGCAGGGTTCACAGATATTCCTGACTTGTATAGCATCTCCTCGTTCTGCCAGTCACGGTTCCTCAACACTGTCTTAATCCCAAAGAGAAGGACCAGGGCGGCAGAGCAGCCTAGAACCAAAGTTCTGGAGGACTTCCTCCTCAACCTAATGTATAAAGCTCTCATCCCCACTGCTACCAACAGGCAGAAGCCCATACTAGGGATGTACAGTACTCGCTCCGCCACCACAAAGCCCACATAGAAGAACAGGTTGATGGCAGGCAGGAAGGGAACGGCCAGTAGACCCAATGAGAAGACCACCAAACTCTCTGTGGTGGGTAAAGATGACGAATAGTGTTTTGCAGTACCGTTTGTTCCATTCACGTGCACTGAGTTGGAGTAAAAACTCGAGAGTTCATAATCAGAGCTACAACTGTGTCCGTTCGTGGACTTCCCGTTTGCTACATGATTGGCTTTCCCGTTGGTCTCCTTACTTTTGGTTGGGTATTGGCGAAGGCCAAACCACACCAGCGTCAGAAGCGAGGCGTAGAAGGCAATGGTGTGGAGGTTTCGCCAATCTGCAATGCTCCTCAGAAGAGGCAGGGCATCCATTGACCAATCAAAACTCAGCATGTCAGGGCACAGGAGGAGCCAAACGTTCATGGCGGGGAGGAAAAAGAAGGTTAGCGTTCTAGTCAGGAAACAGGGACAATCTGCTGCAGGGTTGTCCGAGTTGGAGAAGTTTGGAGGTTTGTTGCCCATCCAGTAAAGACGGCAAGCCAGAAGGATGATACCCCAGAAGCCCAGAAGAAACACGCTCAACAGCAGGTGCAGGTTCTTCTTCTGAGAAACAAAAACAGAGAAAACAACATAGATGAGACCACAAAATGACTGAAATATTTAAAAAGGCAGAATCAAATGTATTCCAATAAAACAAATTAGGCTGGGCTCAATCAAAAACATACAAAAAAGGAACTTGATTTCATTTAGAAAAAGAGACTAAATAATAATAAAAAACATAATATAGCAAGTTTAACTGACCAAACCAACAGCAAATGAATGAATAAATAAATCCTTTTCAGGAGCATTGTAGTTTGGGCTGATTTGATTTGAATTGATTATAGAAAAATAAATGGCAAAATTCTAGGGAGGCAATTTCTGCACAAAAACAAAACATAGATGATTACAAACTGACTGGAACATTTCAATAAGGATAGTGCAGAACCATTTTATTTTTCTGAATGACTTCAAACCCTTGAGCTCTTGTTAGTAAATCAACACCAAGACTGACCAATAAGTCAAAGATTTCCAACTGCATTAGATATTAAATAAAAATGAAGAAAAAGGGGCAGCAGATCCAACAGCAAGTAAATTGAGATCGGAAAAATAAACACTGTGGCCCAATCTGGAAAACAAGCAACCTTCATGAGCAATTAGTTGGGAGTTTTAAGTGTTATTCAATACATACTGTACCACATGCACATACTACGGTTTCATCGTGACATCAATCCTTGCAAGGCCTGCGATGGTTAACGAGAATCAGACCTTTGCATCTCCAGTCACTGCAAACAATTTAAAACCGTTGGCCAAATGTAGACACACATTTTCCACATTTTTCAGAGAGGCCAGAATAATAAACGTAGCGTCACTGACTGCTGGTCAGCGAGTACAGCTTGACGTCACAGCACAAGGCAGCGCCGCGTTTATCACTGTCTCGTACAGCCGGCTTTTACAGACTTTATCAAATAAACAAGATATGGCCTCATAAAGGTGCCAATCCATCATACCGCAGTGCTGATATTAAACACTCCAACATGAAAATGATTTCAGAGTATTTATGGAGTGTTTGAATATTTTACACGTTAAGTAAAAGGGGGGATACATTGTATAGTTCCCAGTAGAGCAGCTGCAGAGTTCAATACTCCTCATTTTTCATGTTGATTTTGGATCGAGGACACCCTCGAGCAGTTTTATGACTTCCTCCAAACACGGAACTCATTCGGCACGGATGGCAAACAAACACACAAATGATTACTTCAAGGCCTCGTCGATCGCCATTAAAGGGATAGTTCACCCATGTAAAGGGATAGTAAAGGGATAGTTCACCCAGGGAGAGTACTCGCTCTCATGTCGTTCCAAACCTGCATTACTTACTTTCTTCTGCAGAACTCAAAAGGAAATGTTAGGCAGGATGTTAACAGTTATTTCCTATACAATGAAAGTGAATGAGAACAGACACCATTGAACCGCAGAAATCATGCCTTGTATGTCAGATTCAAAGCCTTATGAAACCATATGCGAGGAAAACCAAAATTTAAGTCGCTATTTGCTGAAAATCTTCATTTTAGGCATCAGTTATGATAAATGCATGTTTCGTACCGGTAAGTTAAATAACGCAACACAGAAGTGAAAATTATATTTCAGATCTGCGGCGGACGGGAACATTTTCAGCTAGAAACATGCTTGACTCATATGGACTATATATTTATACTAATTTATGGAACTTTTTTGTCAGTTTAAGAGTTTGCTAGCATTCACCTCCATTCACTTTCAATGTATGGAAAAGAACAGAATAAATCTCCTTTGGTATTCCACAGATTTGGAACAATGTGAGTAAATGGCAGATTTTTCATTTTCATAAAAGATGTTATGTACAGTACATCTGGAAAATGCTCATTTTAAAGATTAATGCGGGGAAGAATTAACAAAGCATTCCCCCTAAAGGTTATTTGTGAACAATTTTGTCAGTCCAAGACACCATTTATTTTAACTTAGAGAATTGTTTCCCCTCCCTGCTGACTCCCTAACAGAATATGAGACAGTGAGTATGTGTTCTGCATTAATGTCCAGCTGTTCTATACAATATTGATTTTTTTTTGGTCCTGTTTTTGGTCATCTCTGCTTCAGACAAAGAGCACATTATTGCCCACAGGGGAAATGTCAGTAACAGGCCACTTCCCATGTTATACTGTTATGTAGCACAGATGTACAGAGCATATCCCAAATGACAACCTTTACCATAAGTCCTGACAGGCACACAGCTATGAATGTGAGACACATGCCACCAGAGAGGCTTAAAAAAAAAGAAGAAGAATTGAATAGATAATCGTTTTAATAATTGACAAATACTGTATATATATTGCAGTACTAGTATGTCTGTGAGACATATCAATCTGTCATCAATTAAAGTCCGAGAAAACATCAAGTTAACTGCCTGTGTCTCTTAGTTCCTGTGACATCTGTTTAAGTTTGCTGACCGAAGGTATGATGCATGCATTAATGATCCTGAAAGATGAATAAGTAATACAACTACAACAATAGCTTGAACATACATAAAATGAGTACAGTAAGATATTACACACAATAATTGTGTACATAAATAAAAATGGTTAACATGATAAATATTGATAAGATCTCAAGGTGTTTTGATTTCATGCATACAGTACGGTTGGCTGTTTCAGGTGGAACGCGCATGCATGTCCCGGAGGAGTGAACTGCAGGCTGAAGGGAAGAGGTCGTAAACGGGACGTCCCACAGGGGTCTTGAAGCGGCAGGCTACAGAGGCCAAGCGGAACTGTCCGACTGAAGAGAAATACAGAACTGTAGCCAGGCAGGTTCTGCATCTTAGAACCTAAACTACAGTGGTATGAAGGTTACAATTAAAAAATTAATTTCTTGTATTTCTTGTATTGTTTTCTATTTTTTTATGGTTGTCTGTCTGTACAGTATGTCTTGCCGTAAAACTAATTGCCCCCCTGGGGACATAAAGTTGAAGTGAAGAAAAAACTATGGTTTAAAAAACATTTAAACCATTTAGTATCGATTCTTAAAGAACAAATCGATGAAATCCAGAACAAATCAATCTTTTAATCCATGTCTTTTTCAGTGGTGTGTGACAACTAGCTAACTATGAAAACACTAATGTTGGGTTTTTTTCACAAATAAATGTGAAATGAATAATATGATAATATCAATATACATTAAAATAAAAAGCTCAAAGGGTTAGTTCACCCAAAAATGAAAATTATGTCATTAATGACTCACCCTCATGTCGTTCCAAGCCCGTAAGACCTCCGTTCATCTTCGGAACACAGTTTAAGATATTTTAGATTTAGTCTGAGAGCTTTCTGTCCCTCCATTGAAAATGTATGTACGGTATACTGTCCTTGTCCAGAAAGGAATTAAAGACATCATCAAAGTAGTCCATGTGACATCAGTGGGTTATTTAGAATGTTTTGAAGCATCGAAAATACATTTTGGTCCAAAAATAACAAAAACTACGACTTTATTCAGCATTGTATTCTCTTCCGGTTCTGTTGTCAATCCGCGTTCAGTGATGCTGATGACGTAAGACGCTGCTGACGTGTATCTGGTGCGTCCGTGTATTTGGGTTCAAATAAATATGGCTGGGCAAAAAAATGCAAGTCTTCCTCTGTGTCGAATTCCTTAGACATGTTTGCGAAGATTGTTTTGTTTACAGCGTGCGTCTCCCTCAGACTGTAAACGAAGCTCGTGCACTGATACACGTCAGCAGCGTCTTACATCATCAGCATCACTGAACGCGGATTGACAACAGAACCGGAAGAGAATACAATGCTGAATAAAGTCGTTTCCTTTCTGGACAAGGACAGTATACCGTACATACATTTTCAAAGGAGGGACAGAAAGCTCTCGGACTAAATCTAAAATATCTTAAACTGTGTACCGAAGATGAACGGAGGTCTTACGGGCTTGGAACGACATGAGGGCGAGTCATTAATGACATAATTTTCATTTTTGGGTGAACTAACCCTTTAATCTAATGTTTTGGGCCCTATTGTTGATGCTAAATCAACTGGAAATCAGTGCCAATACCAAGCTTTAGCAATTGTGTGCATGTAATTAAAGCATTTAACAAAAGAAAGCAAAAAAAAAAAGCAAACAAATAATAATATAAATAATAGCACACCAAAGAGTAAAATTATCTACAAAATAAAATTTGAATAAAGTCTGTATGTTCAGCATATAAAGTGTTCACATATGTCCATTTAAACTTTGTTTTGTAGATAATTTCAGTCTTGCTTTTTTTATTTTTGTTTTTTGTAAACTTTATACTTAAAAAATCTAGATAAAAAGTTTGAGAAAAACATTTCCCATTTACATAGATAAAAACATTTTGAAAATCTAACTGAAAGTGATGGTCACTGTAGAATTTGCACATATATGCATAGAGAATTGTACTGTAGTCAGCGAAGACATCGTGTTGCTTCTCGGGGACAGCTGACTGAAAACAAGATGCCTGTCGAGTGTCATGATAATTGATAACATAAATAGCGGCTTTGATATGGAATTTTTATTTATTTATGATTTTATTTAAAAGCAAATTCATAAGCCTGGATACAACTCTGACAAAAATTTTTTGCTGCCTTGCAAGAACTGCAATTTCCTTGGTTACACTTGAAAGTCCTCACATACTTCAATACATCTAGTACAGAGGCAGATCATGTCCCTAATTAGTGAACTGCACCAGTAAGACAGCGACGATCACACAGCATATAGACATAATTACATCCTCTGAGTCAAAGAATTCACTGGAGGAAAAAAGCTTTCAAAATGTCTTCACATCTAATGACACTTCTCGCCTGAATGTTTCTCTTCATTGATATGGGATTTTTATATGGGCCGGGAGAGCTTTGGGCCGGGTGATGTATTGCACAATCTTCATCTAGCACTGAAGGACTGTGAATTCAAACAGATGAAAGTATGAGAGACATTCAAGTATAAATCTCTCCAAATAAGTATAGTGAAGGGGACGCATCTGTCATTTTAGTGCACTTACAAGAGAATCACTGAACTCCATATAA